TATGAATACGATGTAATTCGAGACGCCGGAACGCTTTTGCAAAAAGCAATCCAGGAAAATTCGAAGGAAAAAGCGGCTGAGGTTCAAGAACTATTAAGACTAAGGGCATTTGTCCTAAGAGTCGCAGAAGAAGAAGGCTGGAACATAGCAGCAAAAATTTCTAAACCAATACCTAGTGAAGGTGATGAATTTAAGGAATTGCTAGTCAAAGCCAGAAAACAGGTCAAACTATACGAAGGACGCTCCATGTCTTATAGCAGGAGATCTTGGAAAAGTAAAAGGACCGAATCTTGGGCCCCCGGTCCAGAAAGAAACCACTATGCACCTTACTCACTACTGCAGCCTTATGCTCAGTATCCACCTGCAATCCAAGAGTACCAAAACCCAAATATGATTCAAAACCCGGGCCCGGCCTACCAAAACCTCTTTAACAAGCTGATGACGAAGCAGATCACCTGCTATTTCTGTGGTAGCGCTGGTCACACAGCATCAGTATGTCCCTCGAAGTCAGCAGAAAGTAACTCACTAGGAGGAGAGTTTTTTCGGAACAAAAATAGTAGTGGAAGAGGGTGACTACACTCGGGGGAAAAAAGAAAACAAACTGATGGAAATAACAAATACTATAGACAAAAGCAGGGAGGTGGTTGTGAAAATCCACGAGCTAGAGGCCGTAAATTATTAGATAAAGGAAATAAACCCACCACCTGTAGTAACCTGCTGGTTAAGAAACCTCGTACCTCTATTCCTGAAAAATGTGTAGACTCTGGTCAAAAAAGAGAACCCGAAACCCTACAGATTAACCTTGGAACAAAAGCTGTGTTTAAAGAAGGAGATATATCGATTAGAAATGCTAGGAGCCATAGAAAAAGTAGCTATAGCATCGCCTCACCTGGGTTCCTTGTTGGAAGTGTTACCAATTTTTCTTGTACCAAAATCGGGACCGAAGCGTTACCGGCTGGTAATAGACCTGAGAAGACTGAACGAGCGGCTACCAGAGAAATTATTCCAGTTCGAAGGTCTGGGGGGCCTATTGAGATCGATAGAGAAGGATTGGTTCATGATCACCCTGAACCTAAGAGATGGGTACCACCATGTCCTGATGAACGAAGAAGCTTGCAGTTTTTTAGGGTTCCGTATAGGGGATACTTGGTTTCAGTACCGAGTTTTGCCGTTTGGCCTTTCCCAAGCGGTCTGGATTTTCTTGAAGATCATACGGGCATTAGTAGCCCATTGGAGATCAAAAGGGATAGCCTCAGGCTCCCATGTCAACGACATTTGGGTGGCCCACCCCTCAGCAGAAATATTGAGAAAAATCCGTGACGAAGTCATACTACGGGACCTAAAAAATTGTGGCTTTGTCCTGGCCTGGGACAAGAGCAACATGAAGCCATCAAGAAAAATAAAATTTTACCGGTTGGTGGTGGATACGGAAAAGGTGCAAGTGATCATGCCAGAGCAGAAATTGGAAGATACAAAAGCCTGTCTAAAGGGGTTGTCAGGAAAAAATTAGGTAACAGCCAGGCAGTTGGCAAGGGTCACAGGGAAAATCCAGAGCTTAGCAAGGGCCTTTGCCCTGACACAGGTAAAATGCCTGAAGTTTTACTCTCTTATAGATACGGTGAACCGTCAGATCTGAAGATAGGACGAAAGGGTCCGTCTGTCAGACCAGGTGAAAATGGACTTACGTTGGTTGTTGGACAATCTAGAGAGGTACAATGGTCACCTGACCTGGAGGCCATCATTAGTAAAGAGTTTGTTCGTAGATGCCTCGACAACTGGTTGGTACGCAAAATTGGAAGAAAAAACGGAATTCGGAAACTGGACAAAGACGTTAAGTTTTCAGGAAATAGCAAAGCTAGAAGCGAAGTCCATGTTACTTGGGCTTCAAAGCTTTGTAGACTTTTTGAAGGGGACTTGGGTTATAATATTCATAGACAGCCGCACAGCTCTAGCAACAATGAGGTTGGGTGGAAGACACTGGTGGCAAAAGGAAACCTACAGAAACCTGTGGCAGATCTGCCTGAAGAAGGATATTTGGATCCACGAGATGAAGTAGGTACCTTCGGCAGAAAACCTGGCAGATTTTTGGACCTGGGTCCTCAACTCCTTGGATTGGTATGTCAGGGAGGAGGTTTTTCAACAAATAGAGGCTATCTTCGGACCACATTCGATAGACCGGATAGCCTCACATTTAAATACAAAATTGAAGAGGTTTAACAGCTACCACTTCTGCCCGGGGTCAGAAGTGATAAATTGCTTTACCCAGAGGTGGGAGAATGAAGTGAACTATGTGTGTCCCCCATTATACCTGTTACAGAAGGTCCTCCACCACGTGAAGAGTTGCAGGGCAAGAACCACGGTAGTGATCCCGAAGTGGACATCAGCCGAATGGTGGCCACTGCTTCTAGAACTAAATTGGGAGGCATTGGTCCTTCCAGATCCAAAAACAGTATTTGTGCCTGGCCCGTCCAGATTCGTAGAACCTTTGAGAAACCTGGGGTAGGAGTTTTTGGCGGTGCACATCCGTCCATAAAAGAATTGTTACAGTTGGCAAAAAAACTAGCAAGAGACTCGGTATCCCCCTTCTACAAAGCTAGGTCCGATAGGTACTGGGGCCTCTACAAGAAATTTTGTAAAAGGTTCGACCTGGACGTGGAGAGCCCGCGTGAGGAGGGTATCTTGGCATTTATTATATGGCTGGACATGATGGGCCTGGCACCACAAACCCCCCGGATCATACAAGTGGTCGTAAATAGCCTTCGCTTTGAAGCGAAAGAGAATTTTAGAAAGAATCTAGCTGTAACACAGGTACTAAGGGCAATAAAAAAGGAGACCTCAAAGTATAAGACACCAGACTGGCCATGTGACCCATTGCCCATTGAGGCCTTGAGGCATTATGTAGATGTACCACCGTCTTGGGCTGATGATTTAATGTATAAAAGGGATATAGCCTTAGTAGCCCTGGGATTAAGGACAATGCGAAGGCTAGGTGAAATAGGAGACCTAAAACTGAAGGATATAAAATGGGATAACAAAGCAATTTTGTGGGTCCGGATCTGCAAGTCAAAAATGGACCAATTTAGAAACGGCAGGTTCATTCGGTTGAAAATACAGGATCAAGGTACTGCCTAGCTTACTTATTAGAACAATACCTAAAAATTCGCCCAGAAACGGATGGGGAATCACCATTGTTCTTATCAAGACAGGTCAAAAAAGTCTCGGTCTCAGCTGTAGGCCTGATAGTAAATGGTTCTCTGAACATGTGGGCCTAAATAGTAGGTTTACAGCTCATTCACTGAGAATAGAAGAGGCCACGGCAGCAATGACTGTGGGCATAAGTCTCACACAAATCCGGGCGATAGGGGGCTGGGATTCCAAGGCTGTTATGTTATACCTAAGGACGGTCTCCACCGCAAAGGCTGGGATCTCAAGAGGCATGGGTTTCTGAAAAAAAAAAAAAAAAGGGAAAGAAAAGGAAGAGGGACGGTAAAGCGGTACCACCGGTTGGTTGCTGGGGCCCTCCCGAAAAAAAAAAAAAAAAAAAATTTGTATTAAAAATTACTGTATACCGATAGGTAAATAGACAAATAAAATAAGAGGAAGGACGCTTAGTTTGCGCTCCTCGAATATTG